TAACCTCCAGTAGACAACTCTGATGAGATTCACGAGACAACTTTTATTCACAACTTTCTTATTATTCAAGATCTGGATCTTGATCTCACTAATATAAAATGGTTAAATAAGGGAGATGAACTATATTATTCCAGTAAAAATATCACATTTAACACCGATACGAAAAATAAAAAAATTGGTAAAAATTATCAAATAACCAATGGAGCCATTATTTTTTAAAAAATAAATTCGTTTAACTTAAAAACTATTATTTCGTACTTACTCTTATGAGTTTCTAAAACCGACTTATGAAAGTAATAACCCGAATAACATTTTTATTTCACACTTCAAGGAACAATGATAATAAATTTACCTCCTTACCTGCTTGCTAGTACCTATGGGGGTCCATAAAGATGTCCCCTTACGTGTGAACCCAATATTCAGTATTCAATCAACCGACTATCTTCATACATCGTTCGGTAATGGACGTCAAACATACCACCACTTCGATACTCAGTCTGGTATGAGGATGATCTATACCTCCTAACTCCTTCTAATATGGGACTTCTCAACCTTCTTCGACTGAGATAACGTTGATAGTATGATTTTTCTACGCCCAGGTCCGTACACCTATACCCAAGATACCCGATAAGCCCTTTTGCACACATATTCATATTATTCACCAGCCACTAATCACATGTAATCAACTTATTCCATATTTACAGAACAATAGAGTGATAATTACTCAAACAATGTAAATTAATCGATTAACAACTAAGGGAGACATGGTAAGACATTTATTGCAAACCAATCAACAAATGAGGATAACACAGGTAGATAAACTAAATAAATAAGACGCAATTAAAATCAATAAATTAAAACACATGATATAGCAGTAAGCATTATAGCATTACAGGAGAAAATAAACAACAAAACTAGAGTAATATACACTGATCGGTTCCAGTTCCAGTTCTATTGGTGACCTATAATAATTTAAGGGATTTTTATTTTTTATAAAATACGCAATATTAATATTAGACTTAATTTAATGTAACGGGATAAAAAGAGTGAAAGATTCTTATCCCGAATTGGT